CTGTTGATATTCTACTCTTTTAAAATATATTTTATGGAAAAAATCTTGTGCAAAAATTCTCAGTAACAACTATTATTATTATTATTACACTTATCATTTGAGATTACATTTTCTTTTTACACCTATATATATGGCAAATATGTTTTAAAACCACAGCATTTCCTTTAACAGAAGATACTGATTTCTTTTTAAATGGTACCCACTTACCTTACAAACAGTATGAAGTTTGAGACAGCTATTCATGGGATAATAGTTCTGTACATTTTGTTGTACAGAAATAAATCTATAATCCCACAAATAACTGTCATAAAATTTCATACTGAAGACAATGATGTAGTTGTATTTAACTTATTCACTAGTCACTAACCAAAACAGCTGCTGCAATGCTATTAAGAAAACCACAGACAAATGAAAGCATCCTAAACAAAGTTCTACATTAATATATAGTATGTGAGAATTTCTGGAGAACAATGAATGCAAATGAAAGCTGCAAGAAATGAATGCATTCTTAAAAGTTATATATTACTATGCTGTCATTTAAAATCCCAATATTTGAAAATTTCTGAAGGGAAAATAAAATGTAAACTTGTGTGGTTAAATATTTTATTTTATTTCAAGTGCAAATAGTTGTACTTGAAAATTTATTTATAAAAAAAGTTGCAATGTCTGTCAAATAATGCTGATCTATCTTTTCATCACAAGTGTGTGTAATTTGAATTGCCTGACATCCAGAAAAATGCCAGTTCCTGAAAATTCTGAATTGTAGAAATCAAACACATATACAAGAACATTTAAAAATCAGAACCTTTAAACCTCAAATGAAAACAATATATATATATATATATCCTCTTAATTCATTAAATGTACACACACACACACATATATATATCAAAATGATTATTAACTCTCAAATACATCCAATTTCAAACTTTAAAGAACATAATTAACAACTGGAAACACAGAATAAAGCAAAAAAGAATTAGGTTTCAGTGTTTTCCATCTTATAAATAAAACTTTTTTAAAAACATAATTATGTATTATAATTTTAGTAATTTTTAAAGAGCACACTGCATCTACATGTGCTTCTCTGCATTTAATATACATATTATGATAAATATTATTGCTTTAAGATCATAGAAATTATGCAAATAAGTGGGTTGTCAATGCATTTTAACTCACTTTGTCAATCTCAGAATTTTTCTTTGTATTTACTGTTAAATTAAAACAGTCTCAAAAGTTATATTCTACTTTTTTTGTGTGTTTTGTGAGAGGAGGGTACAAAGTTTTTAAGGACATATATTTGATAATCCCTAAAACTTCCTAAATAAATATTACATTTTTTTTCAGTAAAACTATACTTTATAATATTTTCTATATACTCGTTCATTCGACCAAATTCTACAACTGTTTATCCAAATTCGTTTAAGGGTCATAACAGTTTACATCTATTTATACCTAATGTCATAGTTTTATTGCCCTTTGAACCATGTCTAACTAATACTCCCACCACACAAGATGTAAATCACTTGGAGAATACACAGTTCAAGTTACTGTATTGAATGACGTAACACACAAGATGTTCATGATCACACCTTATAAAGAATTTTATTTTTATCTTACCTATCCTAACGAGTTTCTAATATTCACATATTAATTACTTTTATAACTATAAATAAAGAATACACTCGAAAAACAAACAATACCGTACTTATCTTTGACCTCGTTTTTTGTTGATGGTTGCCAATGAAATTTAAGCCTACTTTTTTTTATAATGATAGTACTAGTATATAAAATTATTATTTACTTAAATAATGCACATAAAAACACAGAATAATATCATACACAAAGCAAACAATCTCTTAAAACTATTACAATTGAACTGGCTTTCTAATTAAAACAAGAGAAGCTTAAAATAATTCCTTTTGCCACAGATAAACTTTGAAACTGAAGATAAAATTGACAATACTCTGTGTTGAAAATACCATAATATTATATACCACTCAATAGATTAAAACTTTGCCTTTCTATTGGTTATAAATGATATAGCCAAAACCATCAGAGGGACTTGTAGGCAATTTATGAGACAGGATGTGACAGGGGGTGTGTGGCTAGTGGATCTAATTTTCTAGTTTCTGACTTTGTAAACAAATAAGATTGAAGGCTATAAATATTAGGCTTTGCCTTAGTAATATATATATTATAATAAGTAATTTACATTACATTTTGTATTTCAGAAAGGGATAATAAATACATTAGATAAAAGAGAAAACCTAGATAACATACTTGGGGAACTTGAGGATTTATTTAGATATTTCTAAATAAATTAAAACTTATTATTAAAATTGGATTTATCAACTACACTTTGATGGCAAGTTTATCTACATACAATGATAATGAAGTAGTTTAATTAAGATTGTGGCATGCACAGTTTGACCTACCTGTAGCGGGAAGGTTAAACTGTGAAATTTCATAAACACACTGTTTCAACTACAGGTACAAAGAAAAATACAACTGAAAAATGTTGGTCCAATTTTCTTAATGTAAAAAAAAAGCTTTATATTTCTATTAATGTGTATTTTCTTAAATAAGATAAAACGCAAATTAATTTCAGAAAATATTTATAGCAAATTACAACAGTTTGAATATAATAATTTAATTTACATCATTCTGAAGCTTAATGAACTAAATAACTTCATTATTCCTTTTTAAGAAAAAAGAAATATATTCTTTTGATACACATCACAAAAATCAATGAAAACTAAACTTTACAAGCTTACTTTGAAATATATTCTCTCTCAATGTTTCTACCAAAATTTGTTGTTGAAAATGCCATTATTAGTTTAAACATTTGACATTTCCAATTAGATAACTAAACCAAATAACACATTGTAAAGGAAGAACAGAGTGGGGTGTGAATTTTGCACAACCCTGTATTATGTGCCATACTTTTTAATGTTATGTTACGTTTTATAATATTACATATATGTCCACTTCTGAATGTTTATTTTTGCCTTTCCTTTTACCTGTGATTTTTTTAATCACTTCCAAGGGACCATTTGGTCCATCAACGATGGTAAATGTGTTACCAAAATAAGTTGCTGTAACTAATAAGATTTTATTTTTCAATGGTGCCAAAAAAAGTCAGTTGTGTTTTTTGCTCTTAACATAGTAACACAATGTGCTTGAAAAGAAATTACATCACTGTAACATTAATCGACTGCGATTTCATCACATTTATAATAATATTTGGGTTTTGCTGCTTTCACTCAACAAACTCTCAATCCATCTAACTAACACATCTCCTCCCCAACAGATACAATATTCCTAAGAATCCAAAGTATACAAAATTATTTCATTATCTGTGTCAAGATTAAATACAACATTTTCAATAAAAGTTAGCAAACTTATAAGGAACGATTACCTCTTTAACAAACCATGCTATCGGTGGTAATGTAAAACTTGACTAAATACTGATGTAGAATTTCTTTAATTAAGGTAACATAAGGTATTCCATAAGCTAATCATTATGTTAAAAAATAAAACTGTGTTAATTTGAGCCTTGCCTTTCTTTTCTAACTCTTAAACTTCTGTTCTCTCATCCAACTGCCTTCAGGATGTAGGAGACTTCTACCCATCAACCCTCTATATAGTTTTGTAAAATTAAACAAGAGTACAATGAAATAATAAATTCTAATACAACCCTTTTATCCTGAGAATCATCTTAATAAACTTCATCGGAACCCTTTCCAGTAGTCAATACACTTCTTTAGATAAGACCATATATACATAATATTCAAAGTGAGGCTTAATTAATTATTTATAAAAACACATAATTACTTTTTGACTTATAATCAAAATGCCTATAAGTACATTTTAAAATCCTATTAGCTTTATAACTAGCAAGAATACTGCCTTAATGGCTTAGTGACATATCTACCACCATTCCAAGATCATTTTCTTCAGTCATGTTATTGAGTGGATTCTTACCTATACTAACATGTGATCCCAATTATAATCCAGCTGCATTATCTCACACTTCATATAAATACAACTGATCCAAGTCATTCTGTAGTATCCCAACATCCTTAATAGAGTTCAAAATACCCAAGAGTTTAATGTCATCAGCATTTTTACTTCTTTACTAATTATGCTTCTATTAATGTTATTAATGTAAATAAGAAAAATCAAAGACCCAAGAATTGACTCCTGTGACACATCACTAGTAACAAAAGTTGAGTTTGGCTGGACTTCATTAAGAACATCTTTTGCTTTCTCTCATTCAACCTCTCTACACATAAATAAGCTCCAATTCACACCATCTCTTGCAGATGAATAGACACCAACAACAAAACCCCACAGATACAATTTTCTTAATATTTTATGTGGCACCTTATAATTATGAAAAGCTTTATGAAAATCTAAGTATTCCAAGTCCACATTCTTTCCATCATTCAGAAAGCAAGTAACAACCTAAAAAAAATATAGATTTGTAAGACAATACTTCTCTTCAGTAAATCCATGTTGACTCTTTCATGATACCATATTTTACTAAATGAGTTTGCAAAGCCTCTTTTTTTAAGATTAGCTAGAATTACTACAATACAGAAGAAAGACAAACTGACCTATGACTTCCACACTAACTCTTATTACCCCCTTTAAAAATATGAGTAAAAGAGCAACTATCCAATCCTCAGGCTCATTCCTCTACATCTTAACCTCCAAATTATGAAAAAGGCTCATATATCTGATCTATAACCTCCCTTATGCTTCAAAACACAGAGAAGTATTTTGTCCAATTCTGGTGCTTTGTCAATTTTTAATTTTTCAACATTTTTACTTAGCACTATAGAAAAGAAAACTTATAAGTGTTTACTGAATATATTACATATATGATAAAATAAATATTCCTTAATTAGGAATTTCACAGATAATAAAATTATCATTAATACAATTAAATGTGTAATTTACAATTAAGTCTAAAGGTGAACCATGCACTGAACCTATTTATGAATTTCTTGTCCTCATCAAAACATGAATCTCAGTGAAGATGGCATAGAGATATAATATATTCTTTGATTCACTACTCCCATTGCAGCAGACTAGATTTGCTGAATTCGTGGCTCATCATTGCTGCTTGGAAAGAGAACCAAATAAATAAAGGCCTCACAATATATAGTGGTGAATACAGTAATTGTAAGGAAAATTTCAAATCATAAATTCTATGCATTCGTTCAAACCACCATCACTACAGGTATGTTTAGTTAAATACATGTTCAGGCATTACTGAAACTATAAGGTACATCGTACCCTACTGTCTAACTTTTTTTTCATATTAAATGTAGCACTGACAGTGACACACAGTAATAATTCAAACATGCAATCTTTAAAACATTACAATCTTACAAGTTACATCACAACAGATATGATAATATATTAGTATTATTACTAAATCAGTAAATGGTTTAATAAATGTATCACTAACAATAATATAACAACAATGATGTTGATTTTATATCAACTGTCAAATCATAATGGCAAATTAACTCCAAAATAATCTTGAAGTCTTTAACTTTTAGTTTTAAGCCTGTGTTATAATCTGAGGTCCCATTAAAATTTTAAATCCAGAAGTTATCAGTTAGCCTAAGATCAATTTTACTTCAGTGCCGTTACTGGCATTATTGACACTGAATGTATGACATCTTATTCAGTAACTTAACTTAAGTCTTACCAGCTTTTTGAAAATGATTCTTAGGCCTATTACAGTTTACTTTTAAGTTGTACTACTTCTACTCTAGTATTACTATTAGTACTAGAGGACCTTGTAAAATTCGTTTCTCATGTAACGCATCAAAACATCACAAAATTGTGTAATATAATATCTATGAAAAAAAGGAGTGTATCTACAAAACTAATCAAAGTTATCAGAAATATGTACCTTATCTTTTTTCGTTTTATTTGGCATTTTTTGTTATTTTCCACTCCATGAATTTCGAAACTCGACTATACTTCTTAAGCCAACATCAAGTCATTCACTTAGGACTACAATTTCCTTGATTGATTGGGTGTGGGATTGATCACGTGATAAAAGCATTCTAACGTCACCAGAAGCGGGAAGCATCGGTTTTAAAAATATTATTATAATACTAATTTTAAGAATAACAATATTATCTGGTTAGAAAAAGACAAAACAGAAAAATGGTTGAATTATTATTTAAATAAATAATATGTAAATGTTATTAACAACGTATTATCGTATTATCAATGAAGAATAACAACATTTTGCTAATACAAAAACAAATTATAGATAATAGAACAATAATAATAATACATACGTGTGTGTATGGAATAAATATGTTTGTTTGTTTGAAGTTAAGCACAAAGCTACACAATGGGTTATATGTGGTCTGTCCACCACAGATAACGAAACCTGCTTTCTAGCGTTGTAAGTCCGCAGACATGCCTCTGTGCCACTGTAGTGTGAATATATATGTATTTGTTCATTATTTCGATGTTTTGTATTAGTGAAAAAAACAATAAAGCTGATGTGGTAGTGTGAAATGACAAGTCACAGTTTTATATTTTTCAAAGAAACCGAAACAAAAATACTGGAAATGATACTTTCTTATTGTTTCCCTTATTTATACCAGAAAACTAAATAAATAAAGAGCGTACATTGTAACTTTAAATTAAATTTCTATAAAATTTTGTAAAGAAATAACAATAAAAAAAAAACTCAAAAGTTTCAGAGATTTCATGGTTTATTAATTTTGCAATTCTGTTGTTAATTGCGCAGTGTAAAATTCAGAAATATAATACAAGGTAAATCGGGATGATGTATTACAAAATAAGAAACCCTGGTGTTAAAGTAGACCTTCATTCTTCAAGCGAAAACTCGCGAAAAGGGTCTACCTACCAAGCACTCTGATCATTGGGTTTCTTGTTTTACAAGTATAACTAGTAAGGTGAATTTCTAAGTTCACTATAATTTTCAAAAATTTCCAGAAATTCATATTTCTAACTGTGTATGTAGTTTTAGCAATAGAATGTTGTCCAAGGAAAGTGGCTAAATTCATTTTATTCTAGTTACTTATTGTTCTGGAGCATTCCCTCAATGGCATCAAATACACTTATGTAAAGGTAGACATTGATCTTTTGCACTGGCGAGTTCCCTGACATCTGAAAGAACATATCCTCGCGTATTTTTCCGTTGGAATGACCATTAGTTACGACAGCGGAAGTCACGTGATCCTGGTAACACGTAATGAGTATCTAGAAGGTTCCTGAAGGCTCGAGTGTTTGCTAGACG